ATTACACTTGGACCACTGAGAGAAAAGGTGGTGCTTACTCTTTTGTTATGTTTGACGTATCCATTTGTAATTAGGATTGGCTAGATAATTGAAACACAGTCAATTGCTCCACTTCGATCAAGAATCATTCAAACCATTACATTATTCTTCTCCATTGTGACAAAGGTAGGTTTGATTCAGTTAGGAAATTCAAATTTTTTAAGTTTTGGACTATGGGTGATAATAGTAGACAACTGATTGTTGATAATTAGAATATTGGTATGGTTGGTTTCCCTATGTTTATTTTATCTAATAAATTGAGATCTCTTAAACATATTCTTAAGAAATGGAATAAAGAGACATTTGACAATATTCATTCTAAATTCACTCAAACTATTAATGAAGTTTATAGGATATAGAGTTTGATTGATGATGTAGACTACAACGATAGTCATGGGTTCGAGGAAAAAAATCCTCAAATAGAACACATTTGCTTAATGATAGAAAGTTATAATAGTAATAATGTATTTAATATTTTTGTATATTAGTTGTTATTTTAAATTCTAAAATATTATTAGAACTTAAGATTGAGACATTTGTATGACTAAGATTTATTTATAGTATATATCACATGTATTGTGCTATTTAGAACATCATCAAAAATCAATGAAAAATGTCCTTTAATTTTTAAGCAAGTTTTTATAGTTTTTTTATTATTAGAATTTTTTAAATTTTTTTATAATTTTGATAGTGTTCTTATTTGAAGCTTATCATTTACATTTGTCTTGTTTGAGAGTTTAAAGAGAAGGAGAAAAAGAGAAATTAAAAAAAAAAGAATAACGTAAAAATAAATGAGAAATTTAGATAAGAGTTTTAGAGGATTTTATTTTATTCATAATACAAAAACTTTTTAATTTAAAAAACTCAAAAATTGTATTCGAGATAAGGGTTTGGGAGAGTTTAAACAAACTTTTTAATTATAACTTATATTGTTATATTATTCTAAAAACTAAAAATATATTAATGATAAAAATTCTTTATTTTTCTAATCAAAATCCCTCTTTTAAAAAATGTTAAAAGATTTCTCTATTTTTATTCTTAAATCCTATTTTTCTTAAACTCTCTCCACCTCTTTTCCAACCTCTCAAACAAAGACTTAATGTTTGAAGTATTATCACAGGTTGAATTAACATTAACAAAATTATTATGAAATGATTAATAATGTGTAAAGGGAAAAAATTGCAAAGGAAAAAATATAAATATATGTAAAATTGTTGAAGTAGATTTACACACCTAATGAAAATTAGGTCAAATTAGATGAAAAACAAGAAAAACCAATTCTATATTTTAATTTGATATATTTATAAAAATTAAACTTTCATATATATTTTATTAGTAATAATAAATAAATCTATCTCAATTTTTAAAAAAAATTAAAAAATTATTATATATATATATATATATATATATATATATATATATATATATATATATATATATATATATATATATATATATATATATATATATATATATATATATATATATATATATATATATATATATATATATATATATATATATATATATATATATATATATAATCACTACATTTAAAGCATTTATTTTTTAAGTTATTAATCAATGTTAAAAGAGTGTTTATGTAGAGGTAGGTCCGCAAATTTGAAATATGTGTATTCTCTTTTTTTTTCTTCATGATTAAAAGAGAGTTTAAGAAAAGTAGACTAAGGAATGAAGACTGTGAATTGAAATCTAAATAACTCAATCTCTTTTCCCAGGTATAGTGTGCCATCATACCCTTAAGTGCCAACAATAAATTTAATTTAAGTCTAGTCAATAAGACTTTTTATTTTCACCACATTAACAAATTTCAAGAGACGTCTCAAAAATATAAAGTCAAACACATTCTTACTTAAACTCTAATTAATTATATTGATGTTTCAATTTGTTTAACATATCTTTATACATGTGCTTGAAGTAACCAATAGGTTAATTTCTTGTTGAATTGATAAAATATGCTGTAGAGTGTCCAGGTTCTTGCACTTAGAGATGCTTAGAAACAACCTAAAAGAAACCATACATGTTATTATGTCAGGACTATTGCTTGATGTATATAGGTGGAAGATTTCATGCCTCAAAAAAAGTTTGTCCTTACTAAAGAAATGTGACCCTCAATGCCCTCTATCAAATTGACATTATACATGTTTTGTTTCATATTCTATCAAATGTAATGCATATACTTTTCAACTTCAATTCATGTTTTATAATTAAACACAATGAAATAAACAAAGACGTTGAAAGATAAAACTATGGCATGTTTGGTGGGGATAAAATATTTGGATAATTTTAATATAAAATGTGAAAAAAATTTATCAGAGATAATAGAGGATGGATTATGTTATTTCAACAATAATTTATTCTTAAGTTATTTTGATTAATAACTTATGATCAATATTAAATTTTATCAATTCAATATTTTAGTATATTTTCATAATTAGTCACACTTTTTTTTATAATTGACAAAAGAATATTTTAATAAAGAACGATATCTCTTTATTTAAAACTTATTATCTTGTATGTTGTATAGTTAACTGAAATTCATTTAAGTTGTATAGTAAACCGAAATTCATGTTTCATAAGAAAAAAGATTCAAATTATGTATAGTAAACCGATTTTTTTTTATTTGACTCAACTTATTTTGTTGTGTATTTAATTCAATTTATATATGTTTTAAATATATTAATTATTTAATAAATTTATAAAGTAAAAAATTATTTATAATAAATTTTTTGATAAAATTGTATATTTAAAATAAATCAAATTAGCATATGATATATCTGTTTAAAATTACTATTATGACAAAATATATATAAAAGAATATCACCTTTACTGATAATAAAAACTCTTCCCCCAATTTTAATAAAGATGACTAAAAATAAATATTTTAGTCATATTTTTAAAAAATATTACAAAACTGTACAAATATATTAAAATGGTTTTCCATAACTAGGGCTGGCAATGAACCAAACCAACTCGAAAATAGTTCGAAATTCGACTCGACAATTAAATCGTTGAACTTGGTTCATGAACCAAATGAGTTGAGTATGAGCGAAAAATTAAGTTCGTTAACTAAATGAGCTGAACTTGAACTATACATAGTTCGACTCGTTAGGTTCATGAGTCAACTCGATTACATTTGAGAAGAATTATACTATCTTTACAATTAGGTTTAAATATTTACTCCAAATCTTAGACAAATTTAATCTTCAATTTAGTAGTTTTTGAATTAGTAGATTTCGATGATAAAGTTAAATTTCAATATGATAACTTTTATTTTATTTTAATATTTTATTTTTAAAAAATATATTTATTTAAAATGTCAAATATATTAAAATATATAAATATTTAAAAAAATAGTTTTTAAGTCCGTGAATCATGTGAGCTGAACCTAATGAGATGAACCTAACGAGTCGAACTGAACTGTTCGTGAACTTATAACGAGTCGAGTTTGAGCTTAAAAAATAGTTCGTGTTGAACTCGAACTCGAACTCGAACTCGAACCAATTTTAATGAGTCGAGCCGAGCTGAGGTGAGTTCGACTCGACTCGACTCATTTCCAGCCCTATCCATAACCAGTTAATACTAATATCATTTTCTAACCATTTCCATTTATTCTAAATTTTGCTAATTGTTTAATTAAAATGGAAAGAATTCCTAACAAATTACTACTTCTGTTTTTTCCAACCGATATGCTTGATCCTGAATAACAACTTTTTTTATAAAGCATGATAAAAAATTTATGATATATCATTCACCAAAAACAGAAAAGCATACATTAAAAAGCAAACAAAGCCAACCATTCAAGCTCATGCACAGACAGACACAATGAACAAACAGCCTAACTGCAACCTTTTCATAAAGTGCTACGAAACAAATCATACTGTCACTATGTTCCATCTATATCTTAGCCTGCTAGATCGCACAATGGTCTTGCTATCTAGGATAAATTTTTTATCAACTTTTATACTTCCTCTTATCTTTAATATTAAAAATAAATTAATTTATTAAATAATTAATATATTTTATTTATTTTATTTAATAAACTAAATATATTTTTAAATGATAATGATCGGAGTAAGTAATTTAAAATAAATATATTAAAACAAATCATAAACAATAATAAACTCATGAATATTGGATGAGATGATAATGATATGTTTCAATGAGATAAATAACTTAAATTTTAACACGTGCTATTAGTCCACAACACATTTTATAATACTAGTTATAAAAAAAAACATATAAAGCATCAAAGGAAAAGTATGTGTTATGCAAAATAGATGGCATAGTATAAAAGTAGAAAAGTGAAACTAAACACCTAAAAAGATAAAACTAGGTGTTATAGCATCGATCAACCTTGGTGAGTCACAAGATATGACCCTTTCAATTGTCCCATGAACAGCCACATTCAATGGTGATGAAGTAACAAAACAATGTAGTATTGATTAGTTGACAAATGACTCAATAAAGATGTTAGAACAATCATCGTGTGTCCTTCAAAAAAGAGACCCCACCACACAAGCATACAAGCTCATCACGTAATCCAAAAGCCATTCAACTTAGCATCTGCCAAACTTAGGGTCCCATTTCACATGGGAATAGGATAAGCATGAGAAAAATAACCAAATTTTTGAAATTTTATTTATATCACAAGTCTTACATTAAACATTCAATAATCTTAGGTAAAAAAACAAAACTATAGGTCTACATTATTATAGGAAGAAAGAACAAACAAGCTTTTATTATTATTATTATTATTATATCCCCATATCATAGCTAACAACAAGCGTAAAAATAAAAATCTAGATTTTCTAGGCCTAGAAAATTACATGTGAAGAAAATTGCAGTAACACCTTTTTGGCCCAAAGGGAAACTTCACATGATTCTGATATGGGTGGCCAAACCAAAGTTTTGAAAGAAAATAAAAACAGTTGTCATTTTCACTGGTACCATATTGAAATATCTTGCTGTTTCTGCAGAGGATCCATGCCTACTCCATGACTGTCCTCCTTGAAATCAAACGATGACAGATCACACTGGGGGGACCCAAACATAAACTGGAAATTATTGTTGCTGTTGTTGTTGTGATTGTGACTCTGATTGTGATTGTGATTGTTCTCAAACGGAGAATTCAAAGCTCTGAACCGGTTGAATTGACTTTCATCCCTTGCAAACATGTGATGATGATGGTTATTATTCGACATGTTGGTTCCTCCCATCACCATTCCTTGACCGCGGTAGAAATTCTGATGCTGCTGTTGTTGCTGCTGCGGCTGAATGCTGCTAGGATGCAGTAAATTGTGATTCTCCACAGCGGAAGTAGCTACACGATTGTTAGTATTCCGGTTGCTTTGGTGAACGTCGGAATCATAGACTGTCATAAGGTCGCCGATATTTTTCTCACCGTCTTCTGAAACTCCGAGTCCGGTGAGATCAACGGAAGGTGGAACCAAGTTGACAGACTGAGCTGTAGGTTTCTGTTGAACAAAGGACTGAGGGAATATGACTGGTTTAACCTCGTTAGCATGAAAACTTGGACCACCATAATCTGATAAACTGGCTCTATATGGACAACACAATTGATGATTGTCCCTAGAAGTCCTGTCCTGAAAACCGAGGCGAAGTTCGCTATAAGGACACGGAGGGTGTTCGCAGGTGAAAATTTTTGGATCCATCATCATGTTAAAGTCACCAGAGATCTTCCGCTTCCGCATGAAATCCATGTTTGATACAGCATCTGCCTTCATTGCGAAAGAAGGCTGCTGAATGGGCAGTCTTAGGCCCCTCATTCTCTCCATCATCCCGATGCTGGATGGAAGAATAAGACTTTCAGGTTTCCGTTCCTCGATGTCAAAATTTGGCTCATCTTCTCCGCCGTCGACATCATACTCGTTTCCATCATTGGTGGAAAAAGACCCGCTTCCCCCAGATGCGGTAAACGGGGGAACATAATCAGGATAAAGCAGTCGCGCTAAAGCTTCTTCTTGATTGACGATTGCAAGCCAGGTTGCGCTTTCCTTAGCGGTCATTTTGTCTTGAAGGCATTTGGACTGTCTCACAAGCTTGCGAATTTTGGCAATGTCGGGAGACATGTGCTTGATAACAGCAGTCAGGACTCCAACCTTCCATGCCTTCTTCAGGTCATGAGGCTTCTTGTAAGGCGGAGGACCATGATCTTTCGGTAAACCGATATGGGGCCACCATTCTTCACTCCCCGTTGGCCACCATGGAGGAGAAACACCCTTCTCCAACGGAAACCGCCTCTGAGGGGGATCACAGTGTTGCATCAGTGCTGATAACAGAGAACCCAAAGTTGTGTCCTGCAGCTCTTGCAAAGTATGAGGGGTTGGACCAATTGAATTACCCCCATCGTTGTTCCCCGGAATCGCATTGTCCGCTAGGTACTTGGATATCGCAGCTGGACCATTCCGATCGAACCTAACCTTATCCTTCCACCACTCCCGGAGATTATCGGACGCCCCAGTCACAGGCTTCCCTTTCTCGGGAATTATCCCATAAACAAACCCTTGAGCCTTACAAACCTCCATCATTTTCAGCATGTACTTCAAGATTCCGTCTTGAGCCCTCGACATCTTCTTTCTCCTTGCCTGTTCTTGGGATTGCCTCTGCTTCGCCGCATCAAAACCTTCCCTCGGCTTGCTTTGCTCCTTATCCTTCAACCGCTTGTGAAGCATTTTGTACTTCCACATCCTCTTCTCAAGCTCATCAATATCCATTTCATCGTCACTGTAATCTTCACCAACCATCACCCCAGGTTCAGTTTGCCGGGCGGAAACATCACCCTCGACTAGAGGACCCGAAAACACGTCCATATCACCGGATAAACCCATCTCATCATACATCATCATCATTTTCTGTGAAAAATAACTCCAAAAGATAACCTAAATATCCAGAAGAAGAAAAAAAGATTCAACCAACTACCACTGTTCACCAAATCAACTCAACAAATTCTGTAATTTGGATGACATTAACAAACCTGCCAACAGCAATAAAACAGACAAAAATTAACATGGTACAAAAATCAAATATTTCCAGAAAAAAAAAATCTAGATCAGAAAACATATACACTAATTTCTTCAAGATTTTCACCAAACTCAAATTATGAAAATTAGATAAATTTTTCCTTCGAATATAAAAAAAATATATAAAAAAAAAGAAAAAAAAACTCAAATTCTCCATAAAAATTATTTAGCAACTTTTTAATGAAAAAAGAAATTATGAAACTTCCCGCTTATTTATATATAAAAAATAGATCAGTGCAATCCGAATTCTCTGTGTTAGATTCCTAGTTGAATTCAATCATAATCATATTGTGATCGAATTCACCAGGAATCAAAATATCAAAGTACAAGCAACGTAAGTAAACCGAAAAAAACAAAACCATAGTAATCATAAAAACAGAAACGTAAGGAAAATTGATGAGGAAAATCATCAATCCAATAACGCCAACAAGTTCAGCAAGTTACGAGAAAATAAAAAACGGTATAAACAAATAAGGAAAGAAACTTCAGTAAATGAAAAGCAAAAAAAAACACTAACCAAAACAACAAAAACATAAGTTGACAACGTTAAAGAGTTCAAAGGGTAAGTAAAAATAATAATACCAATAATAAAAATAAAAGATAGAATCTTACGAGATGATTCAGTTTCTTCTATGGTGGCTACAAGTCAAATGAAGCAGAAGAAGAAACAGAGAGAGAAGAAAGAGAAAATGAAAAGGGACTTTAGAGTTTGAACATTATCTCGATTTTATTGCATTAAGAAAGTGGGGGCGGTCCTAGGTGAATGTGAAGATGGTGGGTTATTGGTGGGGTAAACCCATTTTTGAGGAAAGAAAAAGCAACTAGAGAGATATTTTATGTAATTTGAGTTACATTGTTACACTATATGATATTTATACAACTTTTGTGTTAATATTATATTATTCCATTTATCCATTTTTTAATAAAAATATAATTTATTTAAAATTATTTTTTCATTTTTAGTATAAGTTTATAATTGTTAATAAATAAATTATTAGTTCATACTATATATAGGTATATACTAAAAATAAGCCTAATAAAAAAAATTATTTTCAAGTTTTTACTATTTCTAATTTAATTATTTTAGAAAAGTCAAAATATTTAATAAAATATTAATAAACTTTGTTAAAAATAAGTCGGATTACCATTTTATTAATGTTATGGTCAATTTTTATCTTTGGTAATTTTTCAATTTAAATGATTTTATTTATTTTTTCTATATTTAATTAAAAATTACTTTTTGTAATTTTTCATTGTATATATTATTTTCATCGTTCATTTGTCATCTTTGAAGGAGGATATGTTTTTTCTAAATGAAAATTAAATAAATATAGTATTAAAAAATAATATATATTTTATCACAATTGGATAGAATTTATATAAATTTAACTAAATTGATTAAAATTTTTATAATTTAATATGACACGCGTAATTATAATTAATAAAAATTAAATTAAATCATTTGTGTTGAAAGTGTTTGGTTGAAAAATATTGATATAATATTATTTTTACACCTACACCGTATGCACTGTTTACAAATAAGATGAACAGTGTCGTGACAATAAACTGTACATAAACATTAGTATGAACAGTGTCATATGCATGAACAATACCGTGAAGAGTGACTTTTAATAGTAAATTAAAGTTGGTTAATAAAATGTAAAAAGTTGGTTAATATAGTGATGAAGTTGGTTAACAAAGGTTCGGATATTAAAAATAATTTTTACTAGTAAAACAAAGTTTATTAATACAATGTAAAATGTAAAAATTTGGTTAATGAAATTATGAAGTTGGTTAATAAATATTTCGACATCAAAATAATTTTTAGTAGTTAAATAAAGTTGATTAATGCAATGTAAATATTATTTTATTACTAAAATATTTTACTGTTTACCATATTAGTGAACAGTTAAATACGATGTAGTGTATATGTTAGTGTAAGAATAACATTTCTCTAAAAACTATACAAGTATAAGAGTAGTAAAGTAGTGAAAATGTTTTTTTAATAGAAAAATCTTACAAAAAAATTTAACTTTAATTCAGTTAATCTTTTTACATTTTTATAAACTAATATGTGAAATAAGAGTTTAATTGGTATGTACTGACACTGTAAAATAATTTTACACTATCATTCAATAAAAATATATTAATCTGTCATGTCATACAATTAATTTAAAATTTATAATGACAAAAAATATGAAGGTGATTGATTGACAATTAGTGCATATCAATTAAATTCATAAAATAATGATTTTTTTCCACAAATAAACAATGAAAAGTTTGATGGTTGACTAAGCTTTTGATGTTTAATAGTTTTTTATTTTAATTATCGGCAGAAGATAACTTGTAGTAGTAAAGTAGTAAAAATGTATTTTAATAGAAAAATATAAACACACATACAAAATAATTCAAATTCAATTCAGTTCTATTTTTTTCACAATTACTATGTTATCGTACCTGACCAGAAGGAGATCAATGATCTGCCACGCGTCGTCGATCTGTGAGTTGTTCACCTAAGTGTTAAAGAGGAGGGGGTGTACCTGAAACGCACTCTGATGTCAAAGTAAGCGACGGGCAGAGTGGAAGCAAGTACAGAGAGAGAGAGAGTAAGAGAGTTAAGTTACCTGACCCTCTAGTGAAGAGGGTATTTATAGTGAGCCTCCAGCGCAGGGCCAACGGTTACCTAGCACTGGACTGCGCTGTTGGGCCCAATGTTAGTAACTGCTAGGGCTGACGTGGCATCGTGAAGACCAGGACGTGGTCTTCGCCCTAGGGTAACTGTTCTTCACTATCCGGGAGGAGGAAGACCGAATCTTCAGGACGTGGGTAGTTACTTTATGACGTGCCCCTGCGTGAGGGGCGCGTGGAGAACGTGGGGGGGAGGTCCGAGGAGCTCCCCGGGATTACAGGGCTCTGCCCGACGAAGGAGAGGACAAAGGTCGGCTGGTTGGCAGCGAGGGTCCTGCCCGACGGGGAAGGAATGTTGTGCCCGACGGCGTGGGGGGAGTTCCGAGGAGCTCCACGGGAAGACAGGGCTCTGCCCGACGAAGGAGAGGACAAAGACTGGATGGTCGGCAGCGAGGGTTCTGCCCGACGGTTGGGGGCCTTTGTCCAACGGGTCCCTGCTTGTTAGTGTAGTTCTATTGGGCCCGTCCTCAGTGGGGTTTGGGCCTGCTCGATTGTGGGCTAAGCCTCGGCCCAATCCAGAACAATAGCCCCCTAAGTTGTTGTTCGCGGTCAGGCGAGCTATGACTTGAGTAGAGAATGGCGTCGGGAGCGCCGATCTGTCGGGCAGGATGCGAGAATGGCGTCGGCCAGATGGGCGTACGACGAGGTGGAGCCCGTTGTTGGGGGGAAGGACTTGAAGAGACGCAGGGGAGATGGAAAGTCGCCACGTGTCTTCTTGTGACGGCTACGGCCTAGCGACGCTTCGTTTCCCGTGTTAGGGGTATATATACGTTGACCTGACTCGTCTTTTCGCCCATTCGCTTATTTGCATCTGCTCAACATCCAAAATTTTCTGCTCGACACCTTCAATCGTTTCTGCTCGACTTCTCGAGTTGTGCCCGTTTATTGTAACGTTTTGACTTTTGGGCTTGTGGTCGTTTTATGGAATTTCTTGTTTTCCTTTCTAAGTTTGTGTGTGTGCTCGATTATTTATGTATGATTTATATTTTTGCTAAGTTGGGAGTGATAGCTCGACATCAGTTGTGCCCAGTAGTGAAGGGAACTAGCCGGTTGACCGGGGTGGTTACCTGGTCGGTCACGGGGGTGGATGTAACACCCTCTTTCTATACCCCCAAATAATGCTACTAATCATTTAGGCACGTAATCAATATATCATCAGAGTAAATTCATAATATGATATAAAAGAGGCGCATCACATTATCATCGAAACGGAACATAAATAATACCAGCTCATGAAGATATGTAACAAAAGGGGTAAATCTCAACTAAAAACAAAGCATAACGCTTAAAACCCACATATCAACATTTAGAATAAAGCAGAAACATCTAAACATTGAAATCACTTCATTAACATAAGCATCATATACATCGTTCAGATTAATTCAATTCATCAGTTGAATTTACAAAACATTCAGTAGCAGATACATACACAGATATATCACAAAAGAATCAAAATAATTTCTAACTACCCAGTGTTACATATCAGAGCCATCTGACCAAAAGAAATGAAGACTCGCTTCACAAAGACTCCAGCAATCTAATCTGCATTGCAATGCCTCATAGAGCATTATAAAACAGCAGAAGAGTAAGAAACAGTATCATAATACATAATGCGCACATATATATATATATATATATATATATATATATATATATATATATATATATATATATATATATATATATATATATATACACACACACACACAAACACACACATAACGTCCAATAACGTCTTCCGCATTCTCACCGCAACTCATCTCACTACACCGTACATCGCAATGTATTCACAATAAATTATTTACAACTAGAGTACCAAGCATATATATGCATCCACAATGTTTATATCAATTCATAAACATACACACATATACATATATATTCACACATACATGTATCTTCAAGCCTTCCATTCATGCCAATTATCAACAATTTACACAAACATCTACATTCATGTTTATTCACCATACATCATGCACAGATGTCTACATGCAACTCATAGAGACCGAAACACGACTCTATGCAGATGCAAATGCGGTACCGACTCATTTCAGCAGGTTCAATTGAAGAACCAAAATAACCATCGCTCACACCCCACATGGGCACATGAGGTTCTGCAGATTCACCGAGGAACCAATAAA